ACACACACACACACACACACATACATCTGGACATTTGCTCATAATTGAATATACACACGGAGAGAAATTTATAGTAGTGGGTAACATAATTGTGGTTAGGGTGACCATCTTTAATGCTACAAATACGGACAGCTATCTACCCAGCAAACACGTTATATAAGTATTCTATAACAGTGAGGTTACAGTGTTATAGAACATTTGTTCCTAACTAGTTATAGATCTGTGATAGAACCTGATTGTAACAGAGTATTATGCTTATGTCACAGTTCTATCACAATGTGATGTAAGAGTTACATAACTTTAATGTCGCAAATTTTCTGTAACTGTTGTTCCAACCTTGTTCTATAACTGTGTATGAACATTGTTGTGTAATTGGTCTAAACATCTGTTGCAATGCAGTTCTGTAATATACAGTTTAACATTGTCCGAACAATGTTAAACTCTTCTAACAAATTTGGTGTAGTTCATATTATTTTTAATATAATATAATATAATTCGTAATAATTTATAAAAAATACCTATATGGGTGATTCTTCATTAAGTGGTCACTTTTGCTTCCCCTCTGTTTCCTATTTAATAACTTGAAAAATTGTTATCTAATCTACTTCAAACTTTTGCATAATTAATCTTCAATATGTTTTTTAGTAATATCATAATCGAAAAAATTTTTTTAATTAAAACAAAAGTTGTAATTCAATTGCAAATGTTCAAAAAATGCACATTTGTCGTTTCTCCACACATGAATCATGAAGTTTAATATGTTTTATTTTGCACAAACTTTATTTTAAACGTTTTTTTATTTATTCTATTCGAAATTTCATCTCAAAAACTAAGTTTTAGTGTGTCGTTTTCTAATTTCCATTAAAAAATCTGTGTAAAAATATTTTTTTAATATTTTCCCCAATCTTTTTTTATTTAGAACTGGAGTTTACAATTTCATTGATTTTCATTAATTTTATTCCCTTTTTTAGTGCGATTTTATTTGCCATTAATATTATTAAGTTAATAAGTTGTATTTATGTTAAATTTGCAAAAAGAAATATAATTTTTAGATTTAAAACTACAAAAGTTACTATTATTTTATAGCGTATTTTAATGGTATGTAACTCCATACCCGACAAAATTGCCGAATTCTAAATGTATAAAAAAAAATAAAAATAATAGTGATTTAGAGTAAGCAAATCTCTTTAATAATCTGCAAAAATTGTTTATTTTTATGAATTTTTACGGTTTCAATGAATTTTTTTCTTTGATTTGTAAACTCCAGTTCCTGTAAACTCCAGTTCCTAATTTCGTTTCGCGTAATGGAAGTGTTTTGTTTTCTTGAATAAATATTATTAACCTCGATTAACCTGTATCAAAACAAGTAATTTCAATAACAGGTATGAGTAAAAATATTATTTATTTATTTATTAAAGCAGTTTAAAGTAATTATTTGCTTATTTACACTATTTATAATTATTCACAGTCGAAAATTAACTTTTTCAAATAAATTATTTAACCTTTAAATTACAAATTTTTAAATTGTTTGTATATAAAACTAAAGAAAGAATTAAACTCAAATATCTATAAAATAATCATTTTCAAGCTTTATTAAAAAGATCTAAATAAAAAATTTCCAAAAAATTTAATTAAAAAAGAAAATTTTAACATATTCAAAAGTTACCACTTTGTGGAGAATCACTCATATAGTAATTATTGACAACAAATTGCTTTCTTATTTCTTTTATACTACTATCAGTAGCATTTTTTACTCTATCTTTAAATTTTCTTCAGTTTTATTATTCTTCTAGTGACTATTTAAACAAAATTATTATGTATAAAAGTCTCATAAATGTTTTAAAGGTGCATGTAATGTAATCCAGAATGTAATTATTCGTTAATTGTTTGACATTATTATTATTCGTAATAGCAAATTTTTTTGATAAATTAATTTCACAAAGAATTTTGTAAAATCTATTTATATTTAAATGAAAAATTATAGAATATAAATTTGTTATAAAAATGTAGAAATTTCATTAATTAAGCTTAAATTTATTGCTTTAATCTTTCATTTAAAAAGTAATTTTTAAGCCTTTCCTTATGCTTGTAACTTTGAAAATTTACATTTTTCAATTAACATTATTGAATATAATGTATATTATACATAACATAATTATACTATTGTTGCAAATACAGTATCCTTTTTCAAGTTACAAAGCACATTTTCATAGTTCCTTCGTTATATATGTAAATTCTAAACTTCCTTTCATGAGCCTCCGTGGCGCAGTTGGTAGAGCGTTTGATTTATAATCCATTCCTAGCTGCGTCTTGCGTTCGAGACCTCGTGGTTGTAAATATTTAAATAAATAGCAAAACAAATTTTCTTCGACATGTATAAATATTCCGGGTATGTATGACATGCGAGAACAGCGTGGAATATTTTTTTAATTTTAATTAAAATATTTTTTAATGACAGATATGAGTAACAGAAATTTGTAACTGTTCTAGAACTGTGACAAGTATCTTCGTCACCATGTTACAGATCTGTTACTTAACTGTGACAACCTTCTGACTACGACATTTTGTGTACCCAGTGAGTCCCCTGTGAGTCACCAGTTACATCACATGTTCTTCAATTATTTGTCACAGTTCTGTAACAGATCTGTAACAGTGTTTGCTGGGTAGATAGTCACCGTTACCATCAATATCATCAGGAGTAACATCTTGGTAGTACGGGGTAGCATAACTATATTTTTTTAGCATCTGTGATGGTTGGCAGTAGCATAATGATAGTATCGTGTAACATCATCTTTTTAACATCAAAATCTGACTATCCATTTCTCTCAGTGCATATGTTCTAGATGAAAATGAGTCCATATAACCTTCTTTTGAAAAATTGAAAATCGTCACGATCGTCACCAATGCAAAGCTTCCTCATGAGGAAGCAAAAAGTGAAAAAATCAGAAGAAAATCGCTTAAAACAGTTTTTTTAGTAAAACAGATAAAAGATTTGTTCTCATGGGTTTTAGGTTTTGTAAACAAGAAGCTATAGTCTCGGTGCAGTATTATGTAAAATATAATCGCGATTGGTTAATTCCGTTAATTTGTTTGTTAAATAAGGCCGGTACCCCGTCTTGCCCCACTCTCCCTTATAAGTCCCAAAAATCACTTTTTAGTTTTTGTAAATACAACTGTTTTAAAAAATGATTGGATTGGTTTAAAATTTATTTATTTATTTGTTTATACACCCCTCTTAAGCCTACAATCTTGGCTATACAAGTGTTTTTACAACCGTAGAACATTCCTTACAAACATTTCTTAATACTAAATTTTTGCGCCTACAGAGCGACTTGAAAATTAGGAGTACTCGCATTTGCCTGGACCACCCGTCTAATGGGTTTTCTCGCCAGTGAAGAGGGAAACTGTAGAAAACCTCTCGGAGTACAACCGGTTTATCGACAGTCGAATTCTAATGGTGTGTACCGGACAATAATCGACGGTGCACATCATTACACTTCGACGTCAAAACCTCCCGCTCAGATTATTTCACGTGCCGGAAAAATCCCAGGCTAATGGGCGCGAACCAAGTACCCTTGGTCCGCCCACCGAGCCAGGCATTTATCCGACCGAGGGATTGGTTTAAAATTTGTGACTCAGGGGTTTCGGGGTCGCTGATTGCGAATATGATGTCAAAATAAAAAAAAATCGGTGGACAGATTCCTAATAAGCGACCCCGAAACCCCTCGAGTAACGAGATTCAGGCAAATTGAATCGATTTTTAAAAGTCGATCGCCATATTGGATCCAACATTTTGAGTTTTGAAAATCTGATGTCATATCCGTAATCAACGATCTCGAAAACCGAAAAAATCAATTTTGACAGTTAATTTAGTTTGTTGTTGTCAATATCGTTATATTTTCGTAAAGTAGAGGGTTCAAGCTTTAATTTAACTCATATGACAAGTCTCTAGCACGTCGGATTTACCCAGTAGAAATTTTCAAAAACTACTAAAAAATGATTTTAGGTATTTTACCCCCAATTTTCTCAAAATCCTGACGTGATGGGAGGTTTTAGTTAAATGTTAATTTGGATTTAGCGCACAAAAAGCTACGGTAAATGACTTCTCGATCTCAGACAACGGAAATTTTTATTCACGTGTAAGCAAAATGTATTCACCGTAACCCACCAATACGGTTTTGTCGCGAAAACGCATTCACCGAACGTCTCCACCAATGCTTTTTCTCTATTCTGAATACTTTTTTTTACTGGGTATATAACTACTCTCAAGAATTATGGAATAAAGTTACTCCATCTTTAGTTTTTCCCTAAATATGTGCCGTATTAGAAATCATAATGTACTTATTATTTTCAGTGATTATTTAAAAGACTTTACCATACAGAACATTTGAGGCTCCGGATCTTAAAAGGGCACTTTTACCATTTAAAATCAATGCTGAAAGTGCCCTTTTAAGATCCGGAGCCTCATTTATTGTTAGGATTCATTTTCGTGCCTTTTGCACATTGAAAATCTCTTGCAAATTCTGGCCGGTTAGTGATAGGACCAATTATTCTAAATTCACTAGAACTGTGAGTATCATATAAAATCGTATTATTTAGTTCTTTTTCAGTAGTTTTCAAGCAATATGTTTGAGCAAGACTAATCCAAAAAAGTTGACGTTGCGTAAAATTTAAACCAGGTAACAGTAAGTCGGGAGAATGAGTTCTCATATACTCTTCATAAGCTAAGTATGCAACTTTAACTCCTCCATTATCTGCAATATTTTCATTTTGTATATGCTCACCATTCACTTGTAAAAATATTCCAAATTTAAATATTTTACAGCTTCATTGAAAAAAAATTTCAGCTAATACTGTAACGATTCAGTTATATTTTTAGAACCTACGTTTTGATTAACTTCTTTGACTGTGTAGTTTCCATATTGATAAATTATGCATTTTGTTTTTGAAAGAAATTCTTTATCGCTTTCTGCCTTCCACCAATTAGCCAGATTCCCTAATTAATCATGATATCTGCCATGGTTATCAAAAGCATGAGTAAATTCATGTCCAATTACATACCCCACAGATCCGTAATTCATGTAACAAGGTCTGCTTTCATTGAAAAAAATTCCTTGGAGAATAGCTGGCGATAAGTCTAAAATTATTGTAAAAAGTTTATTAGTAAATGCGGTAAAATTTAATATGGTAAAAGGAATTTCAAAGAACGTTAAGTAGAAAAATTAAAAAAATCATAAACCAATTGAACTAATGGCTGAAATACATACATAGCCTATTAGTAAATACATAGTTCATTGCATTCACATTTATAGGAGGCAGTTGTTGAGTCCAACTAGAAAAGTTGACAGGTTTTCTGAACGTATATTTATATTGGTATTCATTAAATTTCGTAATGTTTACAAATGTTTGAAGAAAATCTCCTGGCGTTATTTCCAAATTCGTGTAGTATTCATCAATCTCGTTATCAGTATAAGTTTCGAATATACTTGGATGTACAATGGTCATTGATCGAAGTTTTTCGAACGCCTTACTCTTCGTCTTTGAGTCCATCCAATCAGCCTAAATAGAAATAAGTAAGTAAAGTGAATAAAAATAAGTGGTTTAAAATTATGAATGTCATTCTATCAAAAGGTGATTTTTGTTCTTACTTTTTGTAGAACGTTATTACTATGAACTATCTGTTCAATTGTAACCACCTTGGATTTCCAATTGTGAATCGATATCCAAGTTGAAACAAGTTCATGTTGTACAATGTAACCTATTTGGAATTTCCAGTTGACTGTAATGTTCAAACTGAGACCAGTTCATTTTAAACTTGACATTTCAAATTCAAACTAGCTGAAAATACTTATCTACTGGTTTGAAATTGGAACTTACGTGACAATAACCAACTTAATTAGCAAGTAGGCTCCTGATTCTACCCGGTTCTACTGGTTCTTTAATATAGGGGTCTTTACGGCTAGATATCTAGCCATCCATGGATGGCTAGATATTGCTTCGTTTAATTCTTTAATTTGTTCCCTTGTATCTAGTTCGAAATTTGGATCTTTATTTTTAAAATCGATTTTAAAATTTTCTTCGATTGATTTAGTTTCTTCAAAGAAAATTTCACTATCTTTTGCATTCAATACATCTTCATCAGTATATTTTCTAAATTGAGTATAAACGCGATTTTAACAATTAAAACAGACAGAGTCAGACCTTTTTATGGGTGCACTTCCGAAAGCAACATAGCTCCGATTTTTTACTTACGTAATTTTGTGCCCTGATGACGAAAGTCATAGTGAAAATTGGCGACTAAATAATCCTCATGGTAAAAACCATAAAAATGTTGTTTTCTGCGTTTAAGACCCAAAAAACGCAAAATTTCAAAAAATTAATTAAGCAAAAGTTGTAGGTCTTAGTAAACAACATCTTTTCTCTTCTATACATTTTTTGTCAATACCAAATAGTTTTCAAGAAAATCGTTAAAAAACATAAATACCATAAAATTGTCTGAACCATAAAAAAACAATATCATTAATGCTTTATAATGCATTTATCTTTTAATATATAAAAAAAAGTAAATTTGACTGTCTTTATATATGTGACGCTCCACGGTGAAAGGGACCTTAGCTACAAAAAATTAATTTTGAGTTATTTATATCATATACTATAGTTTTTGAGTTGCTCTTTCATATACAAAAGTCAAAAATAATTTCTACCTATAGGTTTTTTGATATTCCTTTCTTAAAAACGAGGTGCGTAAGATCGACTAACTTCAAGTGTAGAACTTTTTCTTGATTAGCTATTTTTTCAAAATCCTTTATTCCTTTATTTTGATTAGATAAAATTCAAAATCCTTTATTTTGATTGGATATAATCGAGACGACATTACTTACTGATGTCAAAGCAGCTAACTTCAAGTGTAGAACTTTTTTCTCATTGGCTGATTTTTGGCTGATTTTATAATGAGTGTTCCTCATTTGCTGAATTTTATAATGATGGTGACCTCACACTTTTAAATTTTCGTTTTTCTCTTTTTTAAAATTAAAATTAAAATAAATTAATTAAAATATATTTATTAACTAAAAGTTAACTAAAAGTAGTTTAAGATAAAAATCATTTTTATTTATGATTTGGTTTGTAATAAATGAAAAGTTTTTTAATAATAAAATATATTTAATTTTATGATTCATTTTAGACGCTTCAAAATTGTTGCGCGCGCATCTTTTTTTCCAAACAATTGTTTGTTCGCTACGTAACCTCACCTCAGTGTGAAACGCATAGTTTTTTTTGGTTGGTATGAAAAATTACAAAATATTACAAGTGTCAGCAACTGTCAGCCATTTGCAAAGTGTGACAAGTGTATCGTTTCGATAAGAAGTATTGGCTGTTATTTGCTGAGTGATTTTTTTCTGAAAGTGTTGATTGTGAATTTTGTGGTTTTGTTTTTTTGTACATTTGAAAAGTTGCAATTTTTTTGTGATGTTTTTAGTCATGAAATTTTATTTATAATATTTTTCATCCCTTCGGAAATCACAACAACCAAATTAATTATATATATATATATATATATATCTTTAAATATTAGAAGTAAAATGATCTTTTTATTTATGGGTTAGTTTCCCGAACCGATAGAAGGTTATTTTACAAAAACACTTTTATTTTATTAGGAATTCTCAGTAGGCAATTAAGGGTTATAAAAAAGACAACTAAATCCGATCCTAGTTCAATTAGTTTATTTTCAAGCAAATCAGGTTAAAACATCAAACATAGTATTCCAAATAAAAGTTACTTTATAATATTAAGAGTTGCATAATTAGAACGATACAATTTACTTACGTATGTAGTTTCCTTAATTCCTACCGCACTGAACGAAATGAAGGAGGATCGTTTTCGAGACTACTTGCTTTCCTTCAGGCGGGCAAAACGATTTTAATATCTTCTATATTTTCAGCGAATTAAATTATACCGAACTGACTTGTCATAACAAAATTCAATAAGGAAGTAAAACATTCCTTACCCGTTGAGTTCATTTCATTGAAAACATTGTAGAGTTTATCTGACTTATGCAGAGATACTCCATCTAACACTTGCTTCAATGATTTAGTTGTTTTCACTAACAAACTAATGACTCCGATCCATAATTGAAATAATGTCGCGGGCCTACCGGAAGGACTCATTTTTACGGATGAATTTAATCAATTTAGTAAGGTTTTAATTTAGTATTCACAATATAGAATTTATTTTAATGAAAAATTCAAACCACTCAATTCAACCTTGTTGTCTTCACTCGTCTAAATTCTTTAGCCTTTATGCGATTATTTAATTCGGTTATCTATTACCTTGAAATTATCGTATGGTTACTTTCATAGACTAACAAGGCAATTCTAAGTTTACCGAAAAGATTGCACCGGTCGTAGAATTAATAGTGAGTGATTGACATGGTTTAAATTTATGATTCAGTTCAAATTATTCCATATTCTTTATTTAACGTCCATTCGATGTTCACGATGAACAGACGGTCAACTCCGCGAGATCACGTTGTACACGAAGAACTACCGCGAAGAAGCGAATTGCATTGGGGAACATCGGTTTTTATATACGAAATTGAGCTCTGGGTGTGTCAGACTTTAATGGAGAGGGTTAAAGGATTAGGAAATAATCTTTCAATTAGACTGGAATTTGGAAATTTGCAATGTCATTGCATTCTTATATTGTGAAACAGTGTTAAGCTCATCATATTTGTTGCAGCATATAATTTGCAACTGAGTCTTTGAGGTTAAAGACTTTGCAGAAACGCTCATGTTTCTGTTTTATCAGCAAACTACATTTTGGTCATTGACGCAAAAGAGTTTCTGATACTTTTAATTTAAGGAGCCATTTCACAAGAGTGATGAAATTATTTCTTTATTTCATACTCAGCCATTGTTGAAATTTAAATAAAAATTATATTCCAAGAGAGGATATGTAATTTAGGACTCTCAATTCTGTAAAATAATAACGCACGCACAATGCAATCTCCTTATGAATTATTGACATGTTTAAGACTCTAGCTTTTGGAATAATTTGAATAAGAATCAAAAACTACTAAAGAATTATTTGTGCACAAGAGAAACTAGACCTTTGATTCTACTAAATTGTTAATTTGGGAAGTCAGTTCGGCATTTTATCTTCGCTTGGCAAAAATTATATAGGCTGAAAGCAAATAACGAAGACAACGAACTCTCTTCATTTTAATATAAATTGCAAGTTTGCAATTATAAATTTTTGTGTCATATTTTAATTCATTACGCCATCCTTGTCTACAATCAGACAATGCCCTGCTAAAAATAAAATCAGAAATAAAGAGAAAACGTCAGAAATTTTGATGTTTTGTGACTACTTTGACGATTCATGAAGCTTTTGGTTAATTTTGACTAAAGGATTTTTTATGCTCCTGTTGAATCCTGATGTTTATGGATTGTGATTATTGAGCATTGAAATCTTTTTTTTTATTTACAGCCCCTCACCGAAATATAGCCGGTAAATGTAAAGTACCGTTAAAACTTGAAATTTGTGCGTAGCCCTTTTTTCACAATAGAATTGCGGGTCTATTGTTACGAGGTTCGGGTCTCTAACCTAATTTTTATTGCTTAAAAGTTTTGCAATTTTAAAATTTCAAGTGAAATGAATATAAATTCAAAATCTAGAAATCTCCACAATTACAAATATCTAAAATTTATTGTAAAAAACATTTTTTTAAGGAAACTGTAACGTTTCTCGAAAACCGTAATTGTTAAATAAAAAAGGATATTATTTTTGAATTTAAGTTCTAAAGGATATACTGCATGCATAATAAGAGCATATTGTTAGATGAATTCTAAGTCGATGAAAAACAAGTATAATGTTTAAATAAATATGAATATAAACAAATAAAAAGATTTCCCTTCAATTTTATGACGGTCAGTCGACCTTTTTCCAGGTAAAAAAGGGTGTCGACTTTGTATAAAAAACCTGACTACTTTTGAAGCTTTCTGATTAAACATGACTCAAGCCTGACGTTCTGTAGCTGCAATCGTAACAAATGCAGCCTAAAAACGTCAGAGATTCTGACTAAATTTCTGTCGTTTTGTGATTTTATTTTTAGTAGGGTGATGTTGCAACACTATAGAATATATTATCACAATACGTATAATTTTATATATATATCGATAATAAATTCTACAAAATTTTGTAATCGTGCATCCCAATTTTAATGCAGCATGGATAATTAGTTAAAAAAATCGGTACAGATCGTAACGTAACATTTTTTGTACATTTGAAAAAAGTTAAAGTACATTGCATACGTTACGTACGTAAGTATTAAAATTAAAATACATGTAAATACAAATTAAATTTTTTGTTAATATTATTTGTATATATATTTATTAGGAAGAGTTTGTAAATATAATGTGTGAATTATTTAATTTATTAATTTAAAGGATTTAATTAATTTTATTAATTAAAGTTAAAGGTTAAAGTTAAATACATTAATTTAATTAAAGTTAAAGTTTTAAAGTTAAAGTTTTAAAGTTAAAGTTTAAAGGATACATTAATTTAATTAAAGTTAAAGTTTTAAAGTTAAAGTTTAAAGGATACATTAATTTAATTAAAGTTAAAGTTTAAAGGAATAAAGGACATTTGCCTGTTATTTTGATTTCTAAATGTAGAATATTGATTTTTTAAATTCTGATGTTTGTACATAATTATATTATAGTGGTAATAATTATTATTTAATATTGATTAATATTTGTTTTTTTACATCTTAATTATTGATTTTTTAACATTTTGTTTTTTAACATTTTGGTAGTTAGTTATTATTTTGGAAAAAACTTTATGAATATTAAAGATGTACTAAAAATAACATGTGATTACGAGATACCAGATACTTGATAAACAGAGATTTACCCTGCTGGAAGTAAATAGATAGAAACCTTTTCTCTTTTAATCCCTTTCTATTGCTAATATAGAAAGAGATATGAATAATGTATAACTTTTAATCTCCTACCTATACTTCTTTATGCCTTTCTATTCCTACCTTTATCAACTTGTTCGCTATTTCTTTTAATCACCTTTTTTGAATAACTTTTAATAGCCATTTTAAACCCTTCTATCTCTTTTTATATACAATCTTATTACAACTTTTTGTTATCCCTTTCAATCACCTTTTCTCTATTACTTTTAAAATCCTGTCTATTTCCTTGTATCTCTTTCAATGTTAGACCTTATAGACACTATTCTTTATACCTATTAATAACCTATTCTCAATACCTTTTAATAACCTGTCTATAAACTTCTATCTCTTTTTATGACAGAAGTTCTCGATACTCTTCTTTCTCCACATTTATAACCTTTTCTTAATAACTATTGATATCCTATTTATACCTTTCCATCGCTTTTTATGTAGGATCTTATTAACACTTATTTATTACCATTATTCCCATTATTGAGATAGAAAAAGATAGAAATGCGAGACTGCAAAACTATAAACCTTTTTTATTCCTTTTTATCATTCTTCTTTTCCGAATGTTATTCTTTTAATCTTCTTTCAATCCCATATTCTATCTCCTTACTTCATTTAGAAGAGATAGGGATAGTTAAGAATATGGGGATTTGAGGAGATATAATAAGATTATCTCTTCTAATCTACTATAGTATATCCCTTTCTATATACATACTCATAAACTTATACGCGCATGCGTCGATCTTCCCAGCTGTTATGTGTCATGGCGTCGGGTCAGTAGATCCGTAGATCAGAAAGCGTGTGTTATGCACTGTGCGATTGTACGTTTTTGTTTGAGTTTATAACTTCCATATTTTTATAGTTTATTGTAAATATATTTAACCAATAAATGTTTATCAGTAATAGACAACCAAAATTAGTTTTAAACTCACAAAGCATCGAAACTTTTCTAAAAATGTATTAAAGATTTACTTGCAAATTTTTTATAGTTAATCGTAATGAATTAAAACAACACGATTAAGAAACTCAATTAACAACAATAGAGAAAGTTTTTAATTGAAATTAATCGATTTCTTCTATAAGGGGTATCTCCTTTTTTACTTTCCTTTGGATTAGAAAGGATGTGAAAATGGATAGAGGAAGACAGAAATGTATGAATAGAAAGAGATTAAAAAGTTCTATCTTCTTTAATTCACCACTTTGCATCCCCAATTTTTTATCTCTTTCTATATATTTTTTTCTATATATTTCTATATCTAAAACTGTATATAAAGAGATTAGAAGGGATAAAAAGATATATAAATATAAAGTTATAGAAAGAGATAAAAAAATTGTATCTCTTTTAAGTATCCATTTTGCATCTCCAAACTATTATATTTTCTAATCTTTTTTTATCCCCTTTTTTTAATCTCTTTGTATCTCTTTACTTCCAGCAGGGTAGTCAAGAGGTACTAGATTAACAGATACAAAACAGATACAAAACAGAAAAATTTACCAAAAATATACTTATATTTAATAATATTAATAATATTAATAGATGAAGATACATTCTTTATACATTCTTAATAATCTTCAATAAGAAAGGATAAGATAAAAATTCCAGTTACTGTTAAATGTGACAATAGTAACATTATTTACATGTGTTCTGAATTAATTAATTTTATGAAAAAAACTATTTTTTAGAAGCGATATCTTTTCAATAAATTGAAAGAAATCATGTCGAACAAAGAAGGAACTGTTAATTTAAGTGTAACAGATTTTAATATTATATTTACTGAAGGAGGAATGTTAAATGATACTCATATTGATGAATTCGAAAAATTATTGAGAAGGAAATCAAATTCTGCTTTTAGCATGCAAAGCACTTTGTATTTTTATACGCTTGAATTTATTAGTCCGATTGAAAAAGGTAAAAAGCATATTCAAATACTTTTTAGTGGACCTATCAAGAAAGGTCATTGGATTTGCACTTATTATGATGGAATGAGACTTTATATTTATGATAGTCTTAATGAAGGATGTTTAAATGAAGATCAAAGGAAATATTTAAGTAGATTATATCCTTTTAAACCTCCAGTAGTTTTCACAACTGTTGATCAACAACCAAACAATAGTCTTGCTTGTGGAATATATGCAATAGCATTCGCAACATCGATATTTTTTAATGTTATGCCCCACTCTGTCAATTACTATGATTAT